CCACCCCTCCCCACCCCCCCTCCTCGCCGAAGCATCCCCGGAGCCCCGCTGTCCCCTCCGTGCAGCGTTTCGCCCCCCCCGTCCAGCGTTTCGCCCCCCCGTCCGGCTGAAATCCCCTCCCGTAGGGCGCATCTCGGCGCGTAAAGGGAAGAGGGGAAGCCCAGGGCTCCCCTTTTCCACGGCGCTCGCTTTAACCACGCAAGGCTGGCTCCCGAAACCCCCCAGCTTCAGGCCTGGCCTTGTGTTTTGCACCTTCTTAAGCCCGGCTTTGTCTTCCAGCGTCTCCCCGCGCCAGCAGCTCACCGGCCCGCAAACGCCCTCCGTGCTCTGGAACGCCATGATCCACCCGCTGCTCAACATGACGCTGCGGGGCGTCGCTTGGTACCAGGGTAAGCCCCCCCTTCTCCCCCAATTTTTGCCCCCCTCCCCAGCACACAGCAGCCCCCCGCTATCCTCCCCCGGCCTCTCACCGGCCCCTCGCTTTTGGGGCCAGGCGAGGCCAACGTCTTCCTGCACACGGACCTGTACAACTGCACCTTCCCCGCGCTCATCGCCGACTGGCGCCGGGCTTTCCACGCCGGATCGGCCGGGCAGACCGAGCTGCTCCTCCCCTTCGGCTTCGTGCAGGTGAGAAGGGGGATCCCCACCCTCCCCTGGGGACGGCGGCGAGGTTTTACCCGTCATTCCGCACCCCGGAGGCCAATTCCAAGCTGGCGGGAGGGAGAGGATGCTGTAAACGCATGGACAAATCCCGCCGGAGTGCCAAATTCCGGGCAGGGACGGCAGCGGCCCCCTCCTCGCTCTGCCTTGCAGTTGTCCACCTATCGCCGGCAGAGCCCGGACGACAGCTTCGCCCGTCTCCGCTGGCACCAAACAGCCGATCTGGGGCTCGTCCCCAACGCCAGGATGCCCGGCACCTTCATGGCCGTGGCCATGGATCTGTGCGACGAGCGCTCTCCCTACGGCAGGCGAGTCCCGGGCGGCGGGGCCGAGGGCGCAGCTATCCAATCCCAACCCCGCTTCCCTCCTCTTCCTCGGCAGCATCCACCCCCGGGACAAGCAGAACGTGGCCCACCGGCTTCACCTGGGCGCCAGGGCCGTGGCGTACGGGGAGAAAGACCTGGTTTTCCAGGGGCCGTACCCGATCCGGGCCGTCCTGGAGGTGAGCAAGGCTCTGCT